TTAAGGTCACATTTGAGTAACAAGCAGAGGTAGGAAGGACAACTCTCATTTTTTTTTAAGTCTCTGTGTTATCAAGATCATAAATACTGGAGATTATCTGAAGCATTATATTATCATAAACGGTTTGACAGCAAAATTCCAGCAGGCCTGGTCTGGATATCTTGTGAAAACTGTCTCACCAGATGTGTGCTTTCAGGTCACCAGGTGATGTGTGGTGGTCTCAGTCAGATTTTGAGTTTGGTGGTACCAGGGTCAGTTAGCAATAATTAAAGAGCATTTTTCTAGAGACGTCTTTTCTAATAGGTGAAATTTCCAAGTTGCGAAGGTGATGCCTAAGGTCTTCATCTCCGATGGGTACACTGTGAAAAGATTGCTTCAACAGAATATGGTCTTTTTAATAGAAGCAATTAGGCTTTTTGCAGTGTTGAAGTATCTCTTCTTTTATCAGTTGTGGGTCAAAAGAAGCAGGAGCCAACGCATTGGGAATCTTGTGACTACCTCAAAGGGCAAGAGTTTAAGAGTTCCAGAACAGGTGGATCTGAGATTTAGAAGGACCAGTGGCACTGCTTTTGGCCAAGGCATTTGGAGGGCCTCCACAAATTTTGCCAATTGAGTCTTAGTAATATTGTTAGTGTGTTCAGCTAGCACAGTGAAAGTTTAGTAAAACCAGCCAAACAGCACAGATTTGTTGAAGCATCTGGCCAACAAATGGGTTCCTCTATCACTAGGAAGCTCATGAGGAGTTCTCTAGGTAAAGACAATCTTTTCCAAAAGGACTTTAGCTACAAAACAGGCAGTACCCTGACCACACGGGAAGGCTTTAGTCTACTGTGAAAAGATACAGATCATGACTAAAACATAGGAAGTTGTATAAAATCCCTTTCCCAGACTTTGAATGGTCCATTATTAGGAAGCTGATAATGTTTGGGAGTAGTATGAACACTTCCCTGGGTTATACTTTGGATAAGTGGGACAAGTGAGGAAGGCACCATCTGTGGCCTTGTTAAAAACATTTCCCATCAATACTGATTTGTGAATGCTATCATTTTGCCAGTAGACCAGTGGTTTAATGCATGGACAGCGTATCTCTGATCAGTATAAATGTTGGCAGTTTTGTCCTTGGCTAAAGCACAAGCCGCCCACAAGAGCATATAACTCAGCCTCTTGGCTGAGGTAGCCATAGGGAAAGAAGCTGCCCAGCAACATCAAAAGGATTCAAAGGATTCCTAACAGCATCATATCCAGCACAGTGTTGGTCACTATCACCTTGTCATCAACCAACAGCGAGCTGTGAGAAGTCAGCATCACCTAGTGGAATTTCCGGGTGGTGGGCTGTCAGTGTGAACCAGTCCTGACATACTGTGTTAGCAATGGAGGGGAGAAGAGTAGCAGAGTTAGGGTGATTAACATGTGGACAAGTCAGAGTGTTCATCTAGCTTCTCTCAAACTCAGGTGCAGTCATCCATGGAGAAAGCGTTCTCAGTCTAGACTCTAATTGTCCAGTTTTTGGAAAAGATCAATTCTGCCTCATTAATCACTAAACGGGCATAGTCTCTCCTATTCTTCAAAATTGCCTCCCTGAAGTTCACCAGACTTCTGCAAAACCACTATTACCCATGACAAGAAACACTCAACTTCCTAAGTGAGTACCATGTTTGCGTATCAGCCAAAGCTAGAGAGCCCCGTTGTCACTATGAAAATTAGCTTCCTTTTCCCTTGAGGTAAATTGCAGAATCTTGCAAATAATATAAAATGTGACCTATGCTCCATATGATAAGGGAAATATCTCCAGTCATCCTGATTGCTCAACAAGACAGGCTGACTTTTTCACTCATATTTTAATTGCTGTAATGTCAGCCTCAAAGCTCATTAAGTTTTTTTAAGGCACCGCATCTTGGGTGTAAAATATTTTTACTGAGAAAATGAATTTTTTCCTGCCTTGAGAATAGCTCCCTAATTAGAAGCACATAATGCAAGTATATCACATTAAACATACCCTCTGATGAATTGATAATTCAATTGAATGCAAATTATAATCACTTTATTACCTTTCTGCAAGGAAGAAAGCTCCAGTGAAAGGAGAAAAGCACCAAGATAGTTTGAAAAATTGGACTGTTCTTGGCTCACTTAGGTTTCCTTGACAGTCATGGTAGCCTACATGGTTTATAATTTATTTTTTCTCTTATTCCTTCAGCAGCCAGTAGGCATTTGAACCTACTGTCTCTAATCTGCCACCCTACTGAGACTTTCACATAACTATTAAATACTTTTGAGATTATTGCAAAATAATATTTAATGTTTGAAGGAGCTGTAAGAAAAGTTACACCTGTCATCATTAAAATGCCCTCCATTTATTCTGCTCACTATGGTGTTCATATGAAGAGCATGGTCTGTATCTTCCTGCAGACACTAAACAGTGGCAGCAGAGAATGATCGTCTGCTATTGTCACAGAATCAGCAGTTTTAGGAAGCATATAATACATAGCTTTCAAATTCTCTTCATTAGAAACTCTCCAAGTTTAATTTATTCAACTGTACAGAGGTTAAAGATCTGCTGGTAAAGCACTCATCATTAACAGTGATTATTCATCGTCACGTTTGAGTAGGAAAATTCCATTTCTGGAGATTTTCTTGCTGAGGAGAATTAACAGGAGCTGAGAAGTCACAGTGGAAGCTCTAGGCCACAACTCTAAAGCTTGAGATTTTAAAATGGAGAGGAATCTAAGAGTCCTTGCCAGCTGGGCAGAGTCGGTCTTTGTCAGCGTAGAGAGGCAGAGGGAAGGGCAAGAAGGGAGACAGGAGTGACCAAGGGCAGGGTGGCCCCAGCTTGACTAGAGGCCGCTGACTTCCCTTTTCTTAGAGAAACTTGCAACTGTAAATTCCTTCTCTGTCCCTCTGAGATGTAAATCATCTACAAACCAGGAAAGTCTTTCTCAAGGACCTGAGAGGCTTCCCTTTGAACTATGACCCTCAAGAAAGA